TTAATTATGTTAATGGATTGTTTTATATTTGACGAATATCAAAAATCAAACGTTTTAGAAATAAATAATCAAGCTAAAAATTGTGTGGCTCACGCTAATATAAGTGAATTAAAATCGGTCGAAGTTTATTTAGACAGAATTTTCTTATAAGTCTGTATAATACATGTCAAATTTATAAACTTCTTTAAAAAAAACAGTTGGGACCCCCAAGAAAGTTTCACTTTCTTTAAAAAAAAAACACTCGAGAAAATTTAAAAGTGTGGCTATTCGTTCGATGGACTATACATCCTTAGCTTATGCTCGAGCAGTAAAAAGTCATCAAGTGGAGTATGTCTACAGTTAACCTCAAATTTAATCGATGACAGCTGACAACGCGGAAATGTCAGTTATATAAAGCAGCATGAATTAATAAAACACATGCGTTTTTCTCTACGTCTTCTTCTGTCAAAAAAGCAACGCCAACAAGGACGTGAGATAAAGGAGGAAGAATAAAGGACGAGGGATAAAGGACGAGGGATAAAGGGCGAAGGATAAAGGACCAAGGATGAAGGATGAAAGACGAAGAACGAAGGACGAAGAACGAATTTTTCAGTTTTAGAATTTTTCGAAATTTCAAAACGAAGGACTAAGGACTAAGGACGTAGGACAAAGAACGAAATGAACAAAAAGGACGAAAAGGACGAAGGACGAAGGGCGAAAAGGACGAAGGACGAAGGGCGAAAAGGACGAAGGGCGAAAAGGACGAAGGACGAAAAGAACCAAGGACGAAAAGCACCAATGACGAAAAGGACCAAGGACGAAAAGAACCAAGGACGAAAAGAACCAAGGACGAAAAGGACCAAGGATGAAAAGGACGACGGACGAAAAGGGCGAAGGACGAAAAGCACGAAGGAAGAAAAGGACGAAGGACAAAAGACGAAAAGGACGAAAAGGACAAAAAGGACGAAGGACGAAAAGGCCGAAAAGGATGAAGGACGAAAAGGACGAAGGACGAAAAGGACGAAGGATGAAGAACGAATTTTTTAGTTTTAGAATTTTTCGATTTCTCCATTTTTCAGTTTTAGAATTTTTCGATTTCTCAATTTCAAAACGAAGGACTAAGGACTAAGGACTAAGGACGAAACGAACGAAAGACGAAGAACGAAAAGGACGAAGGACGAAAAGGACGAAAAGGACAAAAAGGACAAAAAGGACGAAGGACGAAACGGACGAAGGACGAAAATGACGAAGGACAAAAGAAACGAAGGACGAAGAACGAATTTTTACAATTTTTCGGTTTCTCAATTTTTCAGTTTTAGAATGTTTCGATTTCTCAATTTCGAAACGAAGGAGTAAGGACGAAGGACAAAGGACGAAAAAGACAAAGGACAATAAGGACGAAGGACCAAGAGCGAGGGACCAAAAGGACGAAGGACGAAAAGGACGAAGGACGAAAAGTACGAAGGACGGAGGACGAAGGACGAAATAGGCCAAAGGCGAAGCATGAAAAGGACGAAGTACGAAGAACGAAGGACGAAAATGACGAAAAAAACGAAATAGGACGAAGGACAAAAAGGACGAAAATGGACGAAACCGGACGAAAATGGACGAAAAAAAACAAAAAACGAAAAAGGATGAGAAAGGACGAACAAGGACGAAAAAGGACGAACAAGGACGAAAAAGGACGAACAAGGACGAACAAGGACGAAAAAGGACAAAAAAGGACGCAAAGGACGAAAAGGACGAAAAAAGACGAACAAGGACGAAAAAAAATGAAAAATGACGAGAAGGACAAAAATGGACGAAAAATGACGAAGGACGCAACAGGACGAAGAAGGACGGAAAGAACGAAAAAGGACGAAAGAGGACACAAAAGGACGAAAAAGGACGAAAAAGGACGCAAATTACGAAAAGGAGGAACAAAGACGAAAAAGTACAAAAAAGGACGAAAAGGACGATGGACGAAAAAATACGAAAAAGGGCGAAAAAAGACGAAGGACGAAAAAGGACGAAGGACGAAAAAGGACTAAAAAGGACGAAGAAGGACGAAAAAGGACGACAAGGACGAAAAAGGGCAAAGGACGACAAACGACGAAGAAGGACGAAAAAGGACGACAAGGACGAAAAAGGGCAAAGGACGACAAAGGACGAAGAAGGACGAAAAAGGACGAGAAAGGACGAACGAGGGAGACAGGGACAGAGAAGGACCAAACAGGATGAACAATGACGAACAAGGACGAAAAGGGACGAATAAGGACGAAAAAGGACGAAACAGGACGAAAAAAGACGAAGAGGACAAAAAGGACCAAAAGGACGAAGAGGACCAGAAGGACATAAAAGACGCAAAGGACGAAAAAGGACGAAAAAGGACGAAAAAGGACGAAGGACGAAGAAGGACGAAAAAGGACGAAGGACGAAGAAGGACGAAAAAGGACGAAGGACGAAGAAGGACGAAAAACGACTAAAAAGGGCGAAAAGGACAAAAAAGGACGAAGAAGGACGAAACAAGACGAAGGACGAAAAAAAAACGGAAAAGAACAAAAAAAGACGAAAAGAACAAAAAATGACTAAAAAGGACGAAAAAGGACGAAGGACGAAAAAAGACAAAGTAGAAAAAGGACGAAGGACTAAAAAGGACGGAAAAAGATGAAAAAGGACGAAAAAGAACGAAGGACGAAAAAGGAAGAAGGACGAATGACGCGAAAGGACGAAAAAGGACGAGAAAGGACGAAAAAGGACGAAGGACAAATAAGACGAATAAGAACGAATAAGGACGAAAAAGGACAAAAAGGACGAAAACGGACGAAGGACGAAACAGGACGAAAAACGAATCAAGACGGAAAAGGACGAAAAGAATGATAAAAGGACGAAAAAGAACAAAAAATGACGAAAAAGGACGAAGGACCTAAAAGGCCGAAGGACGAAAAATTACGAAAAAGGACGCAAAGGACGAAACAGGACGAAAACGGACGAAGAAAGACGAAACAGGACGAAGAACGAAAAAGGATGATAAAGGACGAAAAAGGGCGAAAAAGGACGAACAAGGACGAAAAGGACGAAAAGGACGAACAAGAACGAAAAGGACGGAAAAAGAACGAATAAGGACGACAGAGGACGAGAAGGCATGAAGAAGGACGAAAATGGAAAAATTCAAAATGGAAAAATTGAAAAATCAACTAAATAAAAAATGTTTCGAATCTAATAATTGAAAAATGAAAAAATTATTCTAAAATAGTAAAATTGAAAAAATGAAATATTTTAAAAATTATACGAAAAAAGACGAAAAAGGTGAAAAGGACAAAAAAGAACGAAAAAGGACTAAAAAGGACGGAAAAAGATGAAAAAGGACGAAAAAGGACAAAAAGGACGAAGGACAAAACAAGACGAAAAACGAATAAAGGCGGAAAAGGACGAAAAGAATGAAAAAGGACGAAAAAGAACAAAAAAGGACGAAAAAGGACGAAGGACCTAGAAGGCCGAAGGACGAAAAATGACGAAAAAGGACGCAAAGGACGAAACGGGACGAAAACGGACGAAGAAAGGCAAAACAGGACGAAGGACGAAAATGGACGAAAAAGGACGAAGAGCGAAAAAGGATGATAAAGGGCGAAAAAGGGCGAACAAGGACGAAAAGGACGAAAAATACGAAGAGGACGAAAAGGATGAAAAAGAACGAAAACTAAAAAATTTTTCAAATCTAATAATTGAAAAATGAAAAAATTATTCTAAAATTGTAAAATTGAAAAAATGAAATATTTTAAAAATCATACGAAAAAAGACGAAAAAGGGCGAGAAAGGACGAAGGACGAAGGACGAAAAGGAGAAAGGACGAAAAGAATGAAGGACGAAGGACGAGAACGAAGGACGAAGAGAGAAGGACATAGGTCGAAGGTCGAAAAGGACGAAGGACTAAGGACGAAGAACCAAAAGCACGAAGGTCAAATGAGGAAAAGGACGAAGGGCGAACGACGAAGGATGAAAAGGACGAAGGACGAAAAGAACGAAGGATGAAGGACGGAGGACGAAAAGGCCGAAAAGGACGGAGGATAAAGTACGAGGTATAAAGGACGAAGGATGAAGGACGAAAGATAAAAGGACGAAAAATGAAAGGTGAGAAATAAAGGATGAAAGGTGAAGGACCAAGAATGAAGGACGAAAGATGAAGGAAGAAGGACGAAGGACGAAGGATGAAGGACGAAGGATGAAAAACGAAGCATGAAGGACGAAGGATAAAGGACGAGGGATAATGAACGAGGCATAAAGGACAAGGGTTAAAGGACGAAAGATAAAAGACGAAGGATGAAGGACGAAGGAAGAAGAATGAAGGATGAATGACGAAGTATGAAGGACGAAAGATGAAGGATGAAGTATGAAGGATGGAGTATGAAGGATGAAGGATGAAGGATGAAGCATGAAAGATGAGGTATGAAAGATGAAGGAAGATGGATGTAGGATGAAAGATGAAGAATGGAGGTCGAAAAAAAAAGTGAAGGATAAAGAGTGAAGTGTAAAAAATGAAGGTTAAAGGATAAACAATAAAGAACAAAGGGGAAAACGATGAATGAAAGACGAGGAACGAAAGAATAAAGACGTAGGAAAAAAATACCGAACATATGATAAAGGACAAAGGAGAAAGAAGAAAAAATACAGAATGAAGGATGAAAAGCCAAGGGTGAAGAATGAAAAATAAAGGGCAATAGGTTCAAGGGGCGAGGGACGAGAGGCTCAAGAGACGTGGAACAAGAGACGAGCAACGAGTGACGAGGGGCGAGGAATGAGGGACAAAGCACAAATAACGAAGAATTAAAAAAGTGAGGACAAAAGACAAAAAAAAGCATAAAGGATAAACGAAGACGAAGCAAAAACGAAGGATGGAGTATGAAGGATCAAGGATCAAGGACCAATGATTAATAATGAAGGAAATAAATCCTGGATGTCGAAATCTCTAAAAATCCATAAAATTAAACTGCAAATTGTTGTATATCGGGAAGCAAAAACAGCGACTTTCAGTAAATTAATTTATTTTTTTCAGGTACATTGTCAATACATCACGATATTAATATTATAATTTCCACCTATATATTTATAATTAACACATTCAAGAACGACTGATTGTAGATATGGCAGAAGCATTCACGGTGAATATTTCCAAAGCACATTCGACTGCGTCGTGCACCGTGGGGAATGTTCGAATGCAACTCTTATGATTAACAAGTCCACACTTGTAGATCATTTCATAAATGGGTTCTACAAAAAAATATCAAACTTTTATTAACACAGTTGACACTAACCTGGACATGCAGCGATATAAATCGGAATGTCAATTTTCTGGAAACTATCAGTCACAACTTGAAGCATCGAAACACCAGAAGGGTCAATATGACTCAAGGAAGAAAAATCCAAAATCAAGCACCTCAATTCACGATTGACTTTTCTCTGCAACTTTGCGACTTTTTCGTTGTTGCTTTGTTCCTCCTTCACGTCTATCTATAAAGTCAACATTAACACATAGACCGTCAGTGTAGTTATATCCAACAACCTCATCTGCATATTTCGTCAATTTTCTTCGATACTCGAGCTCCTTCTGCGGGTTGATATTAACCAACCGCAACAACTCACTCTTAAACATGTTCCTAGTGGCAAAATTAATCCCACCGCAGTACTGGAAAATCTTCAAACCTGGAATTTCAACTGCCTAAAAACAATTATAGACACTGTTAACCCCAACTTACTCCCTTGTATCTGTTAATGTTAATGTAGAGGTCGGTGTGAGGTACAGACCCCAACAAGCAAGTGTGTGGTTTCAAACTCAAGACGAAAATGGCGGCCAACGACATCACCACCCCCACCAGAAGACCAATTTCTATACTAACGAACACCACGGTTAGAAAAGTCGCCAGCCAAACTAGTGCATCCACTTTGCTCAGTTTCCAGAATTTGTACAGATGAGTGACTTGCATTGCCATGCTTTTTAAAGCTACTACGATGACGCTGGCAAGGACACTCTAGAAGCAATAATTAAGTGTCTGGGGGTTGTGACGATTGGTGACAAACCTTTGGAAGGGGTTCGAAGAACGGACCAATCCACAACAAAACAAAAAGAAGTAGGAAACATGACACGACTGAGGCTATTTGGGTTTTGCCTCCCACCACTTGCTGGATTGTAGAACGCGATAGGGACGCCGTGAAGGGCATGCAGGAGAAGAAGGAGCCGACTAGACTTATTCAACTATCCGCAAAATAGTTTCAACATAACTTTTTATTACTTCACGTGGGTGTTTCAGTTCCATTCGCAACTTTTCATAGTTTTATGTTTTCTGATTTTGAACAAACAATACTAAATGTTCAACGATTTCCTCGATTCAGCGATGACTACGTCAGACGTGAAGAAAATCACAAAAATGCACTTTTCTCTTCGACAAACTGTCGCTTCAATGCAGAGCTCGTTTGAAGTGTGTATATTTTTTAAGTCTCTGGTAGATTTGTGCATGACAGCCACAGGAATTCTTTTTCTTGCGGAATTTTTTTTTGCAAGGATTAACGAACCTGCGGTTTTTTTGGTTTTGGTGTTGTGGCCTGTACTCAGAGGGGCCACGAATTTTTTAATACCGGTCATTTTTGGTATGGTGAAGCGAACGGTTTGGATGGTATTTTGTCATTTCTAATTTCGTGTATGGTTAAAATTTTTAAGGATGTGGACACTTGTCGTTTGATATTGCACAATATTTTGGGAAGAATGGCAATGAAAAAGCAGATATTTTATGGTTTGTATCAGTGTAATAACGGGCTGGAGTTTATGGTTTGTGGGTGTTTTCGCTTAAATTGTAGACTTATTTGTTGGGTTGTTTGGGTTTGATTTGTTTTTTTTTTGACTGATCTTGTTTTTGTAGACGGTGGCAGGTGTATCAACTTATATTATTTATCTTTGGCAGTATAAATCGATGACTTCGGTGCTTTTTGATGATAAACGGAGCTAGACACCAGAAGCTGAAAATCAAAAATGAAGCAGTACAGTTTAATAATAATAAAATAATTATGGTGCTGGTTTTAATCAACATTTTGTTACTTATTTAGTAAATTATATTTCAATTTTATAAAATAACATATTCTACACTCCTTCACATGTGGTTTATGATTCCGTGTTCATTTTTTACTCCCGACTTATCGTAATCAATCAAAATTTATCCGATTATTTCCTTCCAAAAAATTGATGACGCCATTTTAAAATTTTGCCGAATATCGGCTGTCTGAATTATGCAAAATATTATAACTGTGGTTTATCAATGCAGTCAAAGATTTTAGAATTATTTATACAGGGTGACTCAACAAATATCAATATTTTTATTTTCTTTAATTTTTCAATTTCTTGACTTCCAACTTTTTGAATTTTTCGTTTCTTCAATTTTTCGATTTGCAATTTTTCAACATTACATATTTTTCGAATTTTCAATTTTTCGTTTCCTCAAGGTTTCAAGATCTTGATTTTAATTTTTCGTTTTCCCGAATTTCTAATTTTCATTTTCTCGATTTTATACCACAATTTTTGTTATTTTTATTTCCTTTATTTTTTCACTTTTTTTTTCCAATTCCCCGATTTTCCAATTTTTAAATTTTCAATTTTTGCAGTGTTTGGGTTTCAAAATTATCGGATTTTCTGATTTCTTTAATTTTCAATAAGTTTTTAAGTTTTTAGTTTTTCGATTTTTCCAATTTTTATTTTTCTAACTAAATAAAAAATGTTTCAAATCCTATAATTGAAAAATGAAAAAATTATTCTAAAATCGTAAAATTGAAAAAATGAAATATTTTAAAAATTATAATTATTATTACATAATTAAGAAACAAACTTGAAAAACTGTAAAGCAAAAATTGAAGAAACGAAAAATTTTAAATTGGAAAAACGAAAAATTGAAAAATCTAAGAAAGTTGAAAAATGGAAAGAAAAATTGAATCATGAAATAATGAGAAATTGAAAAATTCAAAATCGAAAAATTGAAAAATCAACTAAATAAAAAAATTTAAAACTCCATAATTCAAAAATCGAAAAATTCTAAAACCATAAAATTGAAAAAATTAAAAATTTTCAAAATTATAATTGTGTATTATTGCACATTTAAAAGGAAAACTGGAAAAACTGTAAATCAAAAATTCAAGAAACGAAAAAATGAAAATTCGAGGCTGAAAAATTTTTAATTGAAAAAACGAAAAATTGAAAAATCGACTAAATGAAAAGGTTTTAAAATTGAAAATGGAAAAAAGATTCGTAAAATTTAAAAAATGAAATATTTTAAAAATTATAATCATTACTAATTATTAAATATTTAAAATGAAAACATGAACAACTGTAAATCAAAAATTGAACAAACGAAATTTTAAATAGAAAAAACCAAAATTAAAAAATCTAAAAAAGTTGAAAAATCGAAAGAAAAATTTAGTCATTAAATAACGAAAAATTGAAAAATTAAAAATTAGTAAATTGAAAAATCGACTAAATAATAATAATAATAATAATAATAATAATAATAATAATAATAAGTTTATTGTCCCACAGGTTTCCCTAATTACAGGACAAAATATAAAAAAAAATACATAATAATAAATATACAAATAACTAAATAAAAGAAAAGAAAAAACAGCACTCTCGACCATAATACAAACAGGACTAACCCAAGAAAACATCACTCACGAGCTTATTTGCACATTTGCACATCACTGAAATCGGTGAACGGCATAAGACGTTCGTGCGTGGAGACGGCACATAAAAGGTAACTACATGTCGTGAAGAGAATTGCGGCACATTAAATTCAACTTTCGATAGTAAGGACGCACAATCAATCCTATTATTAATTAATTTTACAATAAAGTTCGCACACTGCCCATCACGCCGAGATGAGAGGGACATCAATCCATGACGCTGGAGCAGGATCACCATATCACAACCTCTACTAGGATAAAATCCGTCCAGTTTATATGACAGATATTTAAGGAACTTCCTGTGGATTCTATCTAGTGGCATATGTTGGCACAAATAAATTGGGTACCATATAATTGACGCATACTCCAACTTGCTCATCACAAATGAAAAGAAAAGAGACTTAAGCAGGTCAATGTCATTGAAATATTTAGAGACACGCATTATGAAGCCAAGTGATTTACTAGCAGAACTGCTGACGCATTTTATGTGATCATTGAAGGTAAGTTCCGAGTCAAATATCACTCCTAAGTCCTTAATAGATGTCTTTCGTTCCAATGATTCGAAACCGATGCCATATGAGGTGACAATTGGCTGTAATTTACGTGTAAATGTGACATAATAACACTTTTTTGTGTTCAAAAACAGTTTATTTTCGGATGAGTACTGCACTATCTTGTCAAGGTCCGACTGAAGTAGTGCAGTATCTACTATCGACGAAATATTATTGTAGATCTTGACATCATCGGCATACGCGAGGCAGGAGCATCTTAGCAAGGAGAAGAGATCATTCAGGTAAACGTTAAAAAGTAATGGACCAAGATTGGAGCCCTGCGGGACTCCTGATGTAGATATAAATTCAGACGATGTGTACCCATTGTAAAATACATAATTTACCCGACCCGTTAAATAGGAAGATAATAATTTCAGTAAAGTATCAGAGCAGCCAAAGCGATGCAATTTAACGAGCAAGATGTTGTGCGATATAGTGTCAAAGGCACGAGAAAAATCCGTATAGATAACATCTATCTGACCCCTTCTATCAAGTGACTCACATAAATCTTGGGTTAAAACAGCTAAATTTGTAATAGTGGATCGTCCCGTCATAAATCCATGTTGGTTCTCAGAAATGTAGCTATGAACGTTACCATCTATACACCCATAGAGAACTTGTTCAAAAACCTTTGCAAAATTGGGAAGGATGGAGATCGGTCTGTAATTACTTAACAGATGTGGGTTATCCTTTTTTAAAACTGGGATAATTCTATTTCTTTTCCAACGACCCGGAAACGAACCTGAACGTAGCGCCAAGTTTATTATTGTGGCTAAAGGCTTCGCTAGCAAAAACCTACAGTCTCGAACCATGAAGCTAGGGATTGAATCATCTCCAGCAGTTAGATTGTTCGAGCATTTTGCCATTATAGGGATTAGATCTTCCTCCCTCACATGAGATAATGAAAATGATGACATTGAGCAAGAGGAGAACTGAGGAGGAGACGAATCAACCGGGGAAAATGCTCTTTCAAATGTACTTGCAAACGCATCAACAATTTTCTGTGGTTCGGCATATTCAGTGTTGTCATCATCAACAAGTTGATTAGGTATTCTGGAAGTACCTTTCTTTTGGTGTAAGAATCTCCAAAGCGCAGCAGGATTGGACTTAACATCCTCTTGAATTTTAGCAAGGTAAAAATTATAAGATTCGGATATTTGACGTTTCAGCACAGCTCTCAATTTTTTAAATTCTTGATAATGATGAGGGCAACGGGTTCTCATCCATAGATGTCTGTGATAATTTTTTGTTTTTATAATATGTTTAATATCGGATGATATCCAGGGCGGAAAATTAGACTTATTCTGCTTTGTTAGAGGAACATGTAGGTTAATAATTAGATACAATGAATCATAAAATTTATCAAGGGCAAGATTCACATCATCAATTGAATCAAGAAATGACCAGTTAATATCACAAAGATCTTCATAAAGTCTACAAAAATTAGCTCTACGAAAGTTGTATCGGCAATTATTAGAAGATGGAAATGAAGAATTCTTAGTGGTCAACGGAATGGTAACAGTTAAAAAGAGAGCTGGATGATGCCTGTCTTCCGGCACCAGAGCTGGAATGAGATGATCAATGTTGAATTGACCACTGTTATTGACAAACAGTAAATCTAATATGTTTGTTGCATTGGGTGAGTTTTACAACATAGCAGAAGTCTGTAAGGACTGAACTTTTAGGACAGAAAGCACCGCCCTGTTTGGAAAATTGGGGTACATTGAAGTCGCCAATAAGTATAACATTCTCATTTATTAAAAGAACTTCCAACGCATTGAGAAATATTTCAAGATCTTGACAGTTGACATCAGGTGGAATGTAAACAACAGCAATAAGATATCGTATATTAGAAAGAATACATCTGCATAAAACAATATCAATAATTGGAACGAGGTCGGTAAGAAACATTGTATCAACTATAGAGAAGTGGACAGCACTAGAGATAGCAAGCAAGACTCCAC